GGATGATGGGAATGCCTCCTAGGGTTTCGAGAAGTCGGGGAGTGGGGCAGTCCCAACCGAGCCTTCCCTTTCACCCCTATGCCCTCCCCCAAACCCCAAACCCTAAACCCTAAACCCTAAACCCTAAACCCTCACTTGGATGATGGGAATGCCTCCTAGGGTTTCGAGAAGTCGGGGAGTGGGGCAGTCCCAACCGAGCCTCCCCTTTCACCCCTATGCCCTCCCCCAAACCCCAAACCCTAAACCCTAAACTCTAAACCCTAAACCCTCACTTGGATGATGGGAATGCCTCCTAGGGTTTCGAGAAGTCGGGGAGTGGGGCAGTCATTTTCGTCTCCGTGTCCGAGTCGGAAGAAGGCCCCCCCTCCCCAGGTGTACGTACACCCGCGCCGGTCCACTGCAGCACTGTGGCTTTCGCCAGCAGCAACAAAAACAATTTGCTGCTGCTGCAGCTGCTGCAGCAGCGCGGGCAGCAGCGCGCCCCGCGTGTGGCCCAGGCCCAGACGCCCGCTTGCTGCAGAAGGGAGATACCGAAGGAGACAGAAGCATTCTGGACTTTTTTGTTTTGAAATAGTTTTAACAACTTTTGAAGTTGAAGAAATAAATGCATTTTACTGTTTGTGAAATTGTTTTAGAGGCTTTTAATGTTCAAGAAATAAATTTATTTAAAGACTTTTGAAGTTGAGGAAACAAAGATGTTTTAATGTTTTGAAATAATTTTAAAAACTTTTAAAGTTGAAGAAATATATATACTTTACTGTTTATAAGACTGTTTTAAAGGCTTTGAATGTTGAAGAAGTAAATATATATTATTTGTTTATTTATTTATTATTTAAAGGCTTTTAACGTTAAAGAAATAACGAAGTTTTAAATGTTTAAGAAATGGTTTTATTGAAGACTTTTAAGATCAAACAATAAAGATATTTTACATTTTTTAATAGATAAAAGATTTTAAGATCAAAGAAATAGTTAAGATTTTAAAATGTTTCAGGAATGATTTTAAAGACTTTTAAGATTGAATAAATAATTAAAGAGGTTTCCAATGTTTAAGAGATAATTTTAAAGGTTTTAAAGATTTGAAAGTTAAAAGAAATAGTTATAAAAACTTTTAAAATTTAGAAATTGAAGAAATAGTTAAAGAGATTTTCAACAATTATGAAATGGCTTTAAAGTTTAAAAAAATAGATGTCGAGTTTTAGAGGAATATTTTAAAACTAAAGATAATAATAAACAATTAGAGATAAAAATAATTAAAGATAATAAAAAACAATTAGAGATAATAAAAAGCAATTAAAAATAATGAAGAGACAATTAAAGATAATAAGAGACAATCAAAGAGATTAAAGAGATAAAGATAACAAACAGACAATTAGAAATAATAAAGAGATAATTAAAAATTGTAAAGAGACAATTAAAAATAGTAAAGAGACAGTAAAAAATAATAAAGGAATACTTACAGAGATAATTAAAAATAATAAAGAGATATTAAAAACAATGAAGAGATAATTAAAGGTAATAAAGAGACAATTGAAGATAAAGAAAGCAGTTAAAGATAATAAAAAAACAATTGAAGATAAGAAAGAGACAATTAAAAATGATGAAGAAACCACTGAAGAGACTAAAGAGACTAAAGAGACAATTAAAGAAAATAAAGGAAATAAAGAGACAATTGGGGAAACAATAAAAGAGATAATTGGGATAAAAGAAAAAATTAAAAAGAATAAAAAACAAGAGACAAATAAAAAAGAGATAAAGGAGATTCTTCAAAAGAGAAAAGGGACAATAAAGAAAATGAAAGGGACAGTTGGGGAGGAAATATAAAAATGGGAAATAAAACTAAGAAAATAAAAAGAAAAATAAAGATAAAAAAATAAATAAATAAAAAGAGAAATAGAAATAAAAAATAGAAATAGAAATAAAAGGAGAAATAAAAAGAGAAATAAAAATGGAAATAAAAAGAGAAATAAAAATAGAAATGAAAGTGAAAATAAAAAACAAAAGAGAGCCCTGGGGAGGCAAAGGGGACAAAAAGAGACCCAAGAGACAGCAAACTGAAAAAAGAAAATAAAAGACAAAAAGGAGACAAAACAGAAACAGAAAAGAAACAAAAAAGGGACAAAAGAGAGACAAAAAGGAGACAAAGGGAGGAGAAAAAGGAGATTAAAAAGAGACAAAAAAGAGACAAAAAGTGGACAAAAAGGATACAAGAAGGGGACAAAAAAGATACAAAAAGAGATGAAAGGAGAGACAATTAAAACAGTGACGAGGTCACAAGAGAGACAACTGAGGAGACAAAAAGGGACAAATGAGAAGAGAAAAAAGAAACAAAAAGGAAACCAAAACGAGGCAAAAGGAGACAGTAAAAGAAATAAATGAAATAAACAACTAATCCCCAGCCCCCCAAGCCCAACAAATCCCATCTTGGAGACAATAAAGACCATTAAAGAGACACAAAAGGAGACAAAAAGAGATAAAAGGAGACAAAAAAAGCCAAAAAGAGCCAAAAAAAAAGCAAAAAATAGCCAAAAAGAGACAGAAAAAGGCAAAAGAGACACCAAAAGCTGCAGAAAAGACATAAAAGAAATAAAGAAATAAAAGAAGTAAAGAACAAAAGAATAAAAAGAATAAAAGAACAAAGAACTAACCTCCAGCCCCCCAGGCCGAGCAAGTGTCGTTGTGGAGACAGTAGGGAGACGAAAAGACAGAAGAAGACGAAAAGACAGAAGGAGACGAAAAGACAGAAGGAGACGAAAAGACAAAAGGAGACGAAAAGACAAAAGGAGACGAAAAGACAAAAGGAGACAAAAAGACAAAAGGAGACAAAAAGACAAAAGGAGACGAAAAGCCAAAAAGAGCCAAAAAAGGGCGAAAACGGCAAAAAGAGCCACCGAAAGCTGGAGAAAAGAAAAAAAGCAAAAGAAAAGAAAAAAGAACCAACCTCCGGCGCCCCAGGCCCAGCAAGAGCCGTCGTGGAGACAGCAGAGACTGTGTTTGGCGCCGGCGGCCGCGTGGGTGACGAAGGCGGCGGGGTGTACGTACACCCGGTGGGGCGTCTGCCGCGGCGCAGTGTCTCCGAGCCCGAGGGCCCCCTGGCAGTTCTGTCCCCAACTGAAGAGGGCCCCCGCGTCGGAGACAGCGAGGCTGTGCGCGGCCCCACAGCTCACCAGGGCGATCCGGGATCGGTCGGGGAAGCGCACGCGGTGGAACTGCGCGGCGAACCAGCTCTCCTCCTCCTCCTGCTGCTGCTGCTGCTGCTGCTGCTGCTGCTGCTGCTGCTGCGGTGCAGCAGCAGCGGCGGCGGGGCCCCTCTTGGGGTAGCCCAGGCGGCCGTGGGTGCCGAGGCCGACGCTGTAGAGCTTTCCGCCGGAGTCGGAGGGCCTCTTGACGAGGACTAGGGAGTGGCTGAGGCCAGCAGCAACAGCAAAGACGGGCTGCTTCGCGAAAAAGGAGACGATCCCGGGAAAAACCCGCTCCCCGATCCCGATCCCCAGCCCCAGCGCGTTGTCTCCGTTGCTGCCCCACACGAACAGCTGCGGCTGCTGCCCCCGCAGCCCCACGCACAGCGAGCGCTCCAGGCCCAGCGCCACGCGGCTCGCCGCCAGCGGGCTGAACTGCAGCAGCCGCTGCTGCGCTGCTGCTGCTGCTGCTGCTGCTGCTGCTGCTGCTGCGCCCGGCACCTGCACGCCCCCCCCGCCGGCCCCTCCCTCCATTCTCCTGCGGGGGAGGGGGACCACC